TTCCTTCACCACTCTTAAACTTCTCAACAGGAAAGGAAGTCATCGTATTCACATCAAAATGAGCAAATTAAATAGACACAAGATGAAAGGAAAATGTAATCAGTTAGGATGTACTCTCTGTTTGAACCACTGCATGGTGTTCGTCTGGATTCTTTGGCATCCTTTACGTGAACATTGTGAATGAACGAATCAGCTATGGCATCCTTTACGTGCTCATTAGAATATAGAAATAAGATACACTAATGATGCAGCAAGGCTCCTAATATTCTTGGAGTTCTTATCATGTTACTCTATCCTGATAATGACTAATGAAATGAAAATGCTTACATTTCCTTCAGGTCCACAGCGGTTTTTTAAGTGCATATGATTCGGTCAGAACAAAGCTTATCTCACTTATCAAGCAAGCAGTTGGATATGTGTAAGTTCTCATAGTTATCTTGGTCATTTTCAGATTGCATTTAAATATTTGTTATCTTGGTTATTTTTTCTAGCTCCTTCAAGCGTATAATTCATCTTGAAGCATGTACTACTGTACTAGGCTCCATGTACTAATGGTTTAATGTGTCTTGTTTATATTCCTTGTAATTCTTTCTATGTTTAGTGTATAAGACAACTAAAGTCTCTTCATTATTCCTGAGTGTCTATATATTTTGCTTGATTCTGAGATAACAAAGTCATGCAAACAAACTCATTTCAAATATGAGTAATTTATTTTTATGAACTATGGGTAAAATATTGTATCGTTATTATTAAAAGGCCAGCTTCTGTGGTAGTTGAGAGGAAGTCATCTTTTTTTTTTTAATGTATTGTGTTAGGCATTATATCTATTTAAGATATTTTAACTCTGCAGTTACCCAGGTACCCAATGGCAGGTTTTTGTTGTTGTCAACATTACTATGTAGACTACTTTTATAAAATCTGTCATATTGGAGGAGGCTACCACAGAACTATACTAATAACGCATTTGTAATCATATAATCTCAATTACAATTTGAATAATGGAAATTAACTCAACCAGGTTTCAATGAAATGAATGCAGAGATGATGACCTTGAACCCACTCCCAAGTGGCATGTTTATGTAACTGGTCATAGTTTGGGCGGTGCTTTAGCTACTCTCCTTGCTCTTGAATTATCAACAAGTCAACTGACGAAGTAATGTTGTCTTCTCTGAACTGATTGTTTTATATACATTCTGTCCTCTTCATGATGGTTGTTTGCTTGGGTGCATGTCAATTTCTGTTAAACCTCTTTTTGCTGGATAGACCACTGTGCTTCTTAAACATGATAACATGTGAAT